GTTATTTGGAAATAGTTGGAACCCAGGTTGCAAACCTTTCAGTTTCTTAATATTATTTTCTCAAAAACAATTATAAATGCAAATTTGTGGGTTAAAAGTGGAACTAAGGGAGTCTATATTGATTTCTTGGTACTTTAGGATGCTAAATACACAATCTGATATTCAGTGTGTGTTCTGCWGGCAAGTGTATGTGTAGGAGCACATGTGGAGTAATTACTCAGGAGGACTCTGGTTTGGCAGCTTCAGGGGCTGTAATCCTCTTTTTATCACAACCAACTGTTATGATATACACACTCCCACCCCATGCTCCATCTCTCTGCTGCAAACCTGTCTTGAATGAACCATAACAGGGGTGAGCAGGATATATAATGACTTTGGTTATTAATTCTTTGCTTTTTCTGTAAAGTTCCCAGCTTCCACGTCACTTGGAACRGGACACTTTTCCACTGTAATGGGATTATTCRTTGTGTATAATAATGGGAGCTACATTGCCTCTACAGTCTTCCCTTTCCTTCTGTATGCTCTTTAATTTTTGCACATCACCGGAGCACTCCTGTGCTGCATCATATGACCAATTGCCACCAGCCTTGTACAATGTCACATCTTTTTCCTTTCAGCTGTCAAACTTTTCAGTTCTACTCTCTATCCTATTTTTTGAATAGGTGCTGTAATTTTCTCTATGTTTGTGGCATGGCAAATACAGGAGAATCCTGGCCTCTGATATGCATCTCATTAATTTCAGTCTTGGCCAATGGTTATTTTGGGGGGAGTGTTTTGTTACACTAAATGCATAATTATAGTGGATTTTCACTCTTACTAGCCTGATAAATTGTAATTAGGAGTTTGTTATCATATTAAAATCATATACCCTAGTAAACCATTATCAGAGTGCAGATTCCCATTAATTCCCTTTCTTGTTAAAAAGTCAATAGATGCCTCTCCCCAGYTGGGGCTGATCTCTGCACTTAACATAAATGAAAACATGCCAGTGTGTTCACTTGCCCATGGTGGTCGGGTGCTCAAACAACTTCTCTCAATTTTGCTCTCACCCCCTCCAAGGTGGATGCACCAGATGCTCTAGAGCTGCTCCCAGGGGAGACACTCCCATCTCTTGGAAGCTCTAAAGTTCTCTCCTCACCAGCCAAAATATTTCAGAAGAATTTTCAGAAATGCAGGTGCATGAAGTTATCAGGAGCAGCTTGCTTTGAGTTACATGGCTGTTTCACCTTACAGCAACSATGCTCTCAAGGGCAATTATCTCTATAGTAATTAACAAGGGAATTTTCTCTGATGCTGCAGCATGAGTCATGCAGCTTCCAAAAGATTCATTTTGTTAGTTACTGAATAAAATGTTTGCAGATGTATTTTGTTGTGATAACATCTCTGACAGGGGATGACTCATTACAGATRGAGGAGTAAAGATCTGCACGGCCAAAATGTGACTGCATGATCCAGAATTTTAAGCTCCTCTAGCAGCTAGCATGAGCACTGACCCCAGTGTCAGTGAGAGGAATTTAGTTCTGTAGTAGRGCCCAGAGGGGAAAAAGCATTTTCCCTCTTTTCCTCACTGCCTTTACATTAGCAGGGTAGGAGAGATGGCAGTCATTTGCTCTTCACAAAAGCTGGAGTTCCCTTCTTGAGGSGTACAAGAAGATATGTTGGGCTGCTAACTCCCTTCCCTGAAACAGAGAGCAAAACTGGGACAAGTCATACCRAACAGTGCAATGAAGTTCATGCTTTCTTAGTATTTTGTTTCATGAGCTAAAGGTGAGCTTTGGGACAGCCAACTTYAGCCTCATAAGAAACCACTTCCCACCAGCTTCCATATTTTTTTTATTTTCTGAAGTGTCTATTTAAGCATTCTTATAATAACAAGATCTTTGTATGAAATACTGGGTTGCATTGCAAACAGTGCAGTGGTTCTGACTTTTGCAAGTACCCAAGACATAGGATACACAACCTAATTCCTTTGTCTGGAATACAAATCCTAATCAACTTTAATTAGTATTAACCGTAAAAGTGCTACTCCTGACTCGTGCCAGTTAGCTGTAGGAGAGTCAGAACTGCCACCCATGAATGAAACTGGAATAGATTTGAGACTGATTGTAAAGAGTAAGTAAAGTGGGCTTTAGAAGTAATTTCAGTTAGGAGTGTCTTCTGATGGTGTCCACAGCAGGAGAATGCTTTAAGGAMTTATTAGCTAATAATTCATAGTGAACATGTGCCATGCATGCCACAGGACATGGTGTGAGTAGGGGCTGACCCTATCTGTGTGTACTGGGCTTAGCCATAGTCAGCTCTGAGGCAGAAAACACACAGAGGAAAATCTGATTTAACTCTGCAAGTATTAGACCTCTGAGTAGGAGGAGCAGGAAACTGCTGCCACATATGYATGGAATGATCAAGGACTAGAGGGAATAACTTTGTTCTTGGGGCCCTATGTAAAAATTGTTTGGGAATTAATCCTTTGCTTTGCTTTGACACACTTTATATTGACAGAGAAACATTAGGACAAGCGTATTACTGCAATCTCCTTCTGTGGCAAAAACCCTTCAGTTAGAAAATTCAAGACAACAAAAAAAATGGAAATAAAGTCCATTAACCCATATCTTACTCTACCATATGTAAAGTAATTAGTTAGGATTGTCTTAGGTTTTGCTGGCCTAATAAACAGATCATCTCTCAGAGGCATTGTTTCAATGACAAAAAATGAGAGTGACTACTTCCCTTTATCTACGTTTGGTGGTTTAACAAAGAGATAATTCTGCAGCAAAATTAGCCCAAAATTTGAAAGTCTCATCAGTGCTTGAAGAAGGTCATGAAATGAGCARTGTAATCCCTTCACATTATTCCTAATGCCATATTTGTGTTTATGGATGTGTTGGCCTTGCTTGATGGTAGCTTCTGTTTTTGTAATTTAATTTAATTGCTTTCTTATTAAAGGCATGCAGCTTGCCTATCTAATAATAAATCTTCTGTAAATATTGCTTTGGGAGGYATCTGTTCCTTAAGGAAGCCTTAGAACCAGTTTTTGTTTTATTTAGAAAGTGTACACAATGTAAATAGACYCTGGAAGATCTTGTGCAGGCAGGGGGTGTGGTGATACGGATTTAGCTTTCTTTATCCTTGTGTCACTAGAGGCMAGTTGCCTGTGCACAAAATTCAGTGGAGGTGTTGTGGTTCACATCAGTTGTGGGTTTTCTCCTCAAGGTAAGAATAGCTTCAGATGGAAAGAGATGTGTTATGAGACTGAGATTTTAATTTTGTTGTGGCCATTGAGTCAGCTGCACTATTCACACCTCAAAAGCTATAAAATTTACATAAACATATTGCATTCTGAGCTTACTTAAATGGGCAGCATCCAGGGAAGGATTGGGGACACCCAATGCCTGTGGTCCTGCAGTGGTAGAAGATGGATGAAGTCAGATAGGTCTGAATGATGTCCGTGGACATACCAGTCCCTAGAAGGCAGAGGGATTGAAAACCCCCAATTTCACCTAGGAACTCCTATTCCACTCTGTGTTTGGCACTTCATARAAGAGAGGCGTCTGGGGATATTTTTCCTTATACCCATCCTTTGGTCAGCCTTATGCACTCTCCTTGTTCCTGACATGGCCCTTCCCAAGTATTCAGATGACAGAGAAACAAAAAAAAAAAAAGTACAGATAAGAGTATGTGTCATAAAAGCACTTCTTCCTGACCTCCTGGGCTGGCTGGATGCCCAGTATCCCTGAACAGACAGTTTGATTGAAGGGGGTTTGCTGCAAAGATGTATCAAAGCTGCTCTCAGAGGGCAATGCAAAGATGGTCTTGTTCCCAGTCATCCACAAAGGGAAGATATGAGTACAAGAACTGTTACTTGTATTTCAGGATCACAAGGGCCCTCATGACTTCTATTTTCTGCAATTTTTCTGTAGAAAACTTAGTACAATGTATATTATAATAACAGATACTTCAAGAGATAGCTAATCCGCAATTCTGAAGTCAAATAATCTCTACTGAGGAACTTTTTTTGTGGTCCTGATAAATTGGCCCTGCCTAATTATGGATTTTGGACAAGATGACCTTCCTTCCAACTCAACCATTACTGTGTTTCTGTGAACTCCATGCAAGTCTCTACCTCTTCTGATAAACTGTCCCTGTATTTAGTTACYCACTGTTTAGATCTGTATTATTCAGATATTCTGATATCATGGCTACAGTAGAGAATTCTGAGGTTTTGGTTGCTTTGGGATTTGATAAAGTGTTGTATTTTGCTTATGTTAGAGTAGTGGCTTTATGCAGTTTAATGTTACCAAAGATGGCAGGTGATTAAGCCCCCAGTTTGATTTGCCACCTTKTTTGAGTTATCTTTGTATTGTGCACTATTGTAATGTCAGTGGGACATTCCATGTGCATGGACTTAMGCAGTGTGTGATTTTCTGAGTTATGACCAGAAAAATCATATAAATGATCCCTTATTTATATTTTGCTACACCCAAAGGGAGGGAAAATAGGATGGAAAGGATTATAATTTTCTGCAGATTCAAAAAATGTTATTTGGCAACACTGTTATTCCTTTCAGCTGCAAAATTAGAAGAGRGGTAACTCTGTAAGAGGGTCAGAGTGAGATTGACTGTGCAGTCAGCTCAGATATATTGATTGAGGTTATATGTGTATAGCCAATGATGCCAGCATAAGAAAATCCCACTTAATTTTTAACAATTGCCTGTGATTCATGGCAGAATTACCATGATATAGCTCTTGGAATAATCTTAATCAAATGGAACTGGGGTGACATGGTCATACAAGAACAAAGATGACAGTGGGAAAAGTAAAGAGGGGTATAATTTTATTGCCCACCTTTATTGCCCACCTTTGAGGGTGAGTATTTTTAATTGCATTTCTTGTAAAYCATGTGAGATTTGAAGGAAGTAGCAGTGGTCTAGTCTTAGGAGAAAGAAGGCAAATCTTGAGTTTTTTTACTTATTGAAATAGGGCTTGAATTATTTTTTTATAAGGGATCTTGGAACCTCATTGTCCCATCTCTGCRTCCTGTGGATGACTCGGTGTGGGCTCTCAGACTTAGATGGGATCTCTTCCTGCAGCTCTCTAAAAGTAAGTATAGATGTGTCCTGCCAAATGACAATCTCAAAATTAGATTCAGTTGATATTCTTTATTTTTAATCTTTGTTCTCCTCACCCTTTGCTTTTCTGACTGGCTTTGGCCTGATGCCTTGAATTGCATGTGTTAGTTTTAAAAAAATATATATCTTTTTTTAAATGAGGTGTAACCTTCAGGTCTGATCCTGTGCAYGCCTAGGGCAGCACATGCCTGAATTAGCTCTTGTTATTTAAGGGTGCAACAGCAACACTTAAAAAAATGTTCTTTTCCTTGCTGATTTCATCCTGTGACATTTAGTATTCCCAATATTAGCAAACATTTTGCAAAGTTTGGGTGTTACTTGTGCAAGTCTGTGGTTTACGCATTTATTCCTTTTCTGCTGAGGAACTCTACATTGCTTATAACAATATCTCTGACCTGAGCCAACTGACCTGGCTGGATCATCTTGAGGTTTTGGACCTGGAGGGGAACAATATTGAGGACATCAACCAGATCCATTACCTGCGCCTTTGTTGCAAGCTAAGCCACCTGACARTGGAGAGCAACCCTATTTGCCTGAAACCAAATGCAGAATCTGCAGAGGTGAGGACTCGGTTTGTGCATAGTGTGTTAATTTTTGTCAGAGCTTTTTAACTGTGAGCTGGAAATGAGAAACATTTTTAYATCTTCCTATTGCATCATTCTAAATGATGATGTGGGATGCCTTTCCCACCTTTAATTTCTGTTGATTTTGTGGTCTCATGGGTATAGTCTCCAAGATGGCCACAAGTGAAATACATGAGTGCTAGTAAAGACTCATGTCTGTTTCCCAGCAATAGGACAAAAAACTTCTTTTCTTGGAGTATGAGCACTGGAACAGGCTTCCCAGAGAGGCTGTGGAATCTCCTTCCCTGGAGATACTCAAAACCCACCTGGATGCCATCCTATGCAACCTRCTCCAGGWGAAGCTGCTTTAGCAGAGGGGTTGGACTAGGTGATCTTCAGAAGCCACTTCCAACCCCAACCACTCTGTGATTCTGTGATTAAATCCCCGTTTTTGAGGTTCTTGCATCTCTTGGAGGCTCTTCAGTCCAAAAGCAAGTGCTCTGACACCACCATGCTCAGAGGTTGAGCCCTCAGAAAAACAGGTAGCTAGGAAAAGCTATGGTGTTGGAACTGCTTGTTACCCTTTCCCCTAAAAGGTTAAAACTCAAATGACAAAAAAGACCTTCAGAAAAAGCTGAAGATACAAAATACAGTGATTCACCTCTTATGTACTGAAAGGATAAAAAAATTTCTGCTGAGATGTTTTGTTGAAGGCATGAGAGAGCCTCCGTGTCACAAAGATGAGAACACAGTAATACATGATCTGATTTGGGTTTCAGGGCACTCAATGAGCAAAGCAAGGGAGATCTTATTCTGCACGAACAGTCTCAGAGCTGTATTACTCTCTTTCACTTTCTCCTGCTTCATAAAAAAAGCATTGTTGGGATATTAAGACACCAATATATTGCCATCCAGGTCTTTTGGAAGGTGATGGTCTGTGCACAGACACACAATCATGTAAAATACAGGCCTCACTAGGGTGCTGCAATTCCCAATGGCATCGTAAACTGCTGATAATGCAGGGTTCAAAAATCAGAGCTGATGCTCTTATCCCACTACGAGATATTCCATAGCTTTCCTGTGTATTTTAAAGTGGTTATGCTCATGCTGGTAATTTGCCTAAAAGGTTGGGTTTGATATTTTCCTGGACTTGGATTTGAAAACAGGTGCTAACACTAAAACTCAATCATGCAGTAGACATACATATTTTAAATCCTGGCACTTCTTAGATATATGAGATAATAGTGTTTTTCAGATGTAATTTCTGGCTTGATCCTATTGCTTAGTAAAAGGGGCCATGGAAGGTAGCTCTTTAGCTATCATAATTTTCCTCTCTGGAATTCAAAAGAAAATATTATATACTCGCCTTTCTGGTTTGATCTGGTGGAATTATACTAAAGGGACCGCACTTGTAACTGTTTGTAACCAAAATGATTTCTCCATTTTGGAGCATTTCTCCCTTATGGAAGATGCAATCCTGAGAGGAAAAAACATATTCCCACAGTAAGGAAGCACTGCTTGCTTGTGATGGATGAGGCATGCCTGCTTACTCTTTCTACTCCCACAGAGATAAATTCAGCTATTGACACTTCCTATCATAGTTTCCTACCATGGAAATGGTGCAGTGTATCCTAACAGCACAGAAAGTCTGATTCTGCTCCTTTGTCGCTCCTGCTCAATGCAAATGGGATTTTTGGAGGATTTGGCATCTTCTGTCCTTAAGTGTATTTGTAATGGAGAAATRTCAGATTGCTCTTGGCTTGTTCAGGTGAGGAAAACAGTCCTTGGGATGCTCTGCATGTTGTCACATAATGGAAGTACAAACAACAGTAGTATGTGATGGTGTGCCCTCATGCTCTTCTTCACACTGAATTCCTGTCTCTACTCCTGTGCAAGTAGGTGCTAAGATCTGGTTAGTGAGAGATGCCTCTGCCTGAATTACGGTGCAAACCTTGTGCTGAAGTCAGTAATACCGATTTTATCTTACAGCAAATGTGAGGTATAGAAATAGAAAGAAACAGAAAAGAGGGAGAAGAATATTGTCACCAACTGTGGATCCTGTGGCATCCCTGTTGGTCCTTCTTCACCCTGGAYTTCTTGGTGGTCGGGTCCCACAGTCATTCARAACTTTCCACTCTTTATACATTTTAGCAAACAAAGGAATTAATGCTCATTAGCTACACAGTTCTCTTATGCTATTGGYTAAATGATTGTCTCTTGCCTCTAATGCTGATTAGTCCACATGCTTAGTCTTTCTTTTCTTTTGAGTCGGTGATCACAATCTCTCCCTGTCAGAATTATCTTTTCCCAGTGGGAGCTGATTTCAGCCCAGCTGCTGATTTGTCTCTCCTTGTGACCTGTGTGTGTCTCTCCTTTTGTGTCCATTGTCAGTGATACATTCTTCTCCCTGGCTTTGTTAACCTCCTCATAGGTCTGAGATTAACACCCAGACAATAGCACCTTCTCTACAGTGCAAGTTCCTTGTTTCCACAGAGGAGTATCTGGAGGGGCCTTCAGTGGTCATTGGTGGTCTCAGACGCCATCTATCCTATAACTTGGGGTGATCTTTTTTGTCTAGTGATGTGTATGAGCAGCTGCTTCTTTGCACRGTTTGCCAYAGTGGGAATTATTGTCCAGGTRCATTATCCAGGATGTGCCAACCTGATGTCACCTCACCCTGGAGTTAGTGCCATCCTGTCACTCCATTCTGTGCTTATCTCATGGCAAAGTCCTTCTGTGACYTTTACAGTGTTTGAGACAGGCAACTGTGATTTTTAAGTCTTACAATAGTTACATTCAAATGCCAGGCAGAATTTGTTGGGGGAGTCATCTCCCATGCACATCAGTGCATTTTACCCTGAGTTCTAGCAAAGGCAGACTGTGAGTTCACTGTGGTCTCCCACCCAGTGTCTGTGTTGGGAAGCTGCTTTGCCCTCAGGTGGGGCCTGCCCTTGGCTGCTGAGAGCTTCTCCATGGACTTTGTTTCTTTTTTTTTATTTCAATGGATGTTTGGTTTTTTTGGGTTTTTTTTTATTTTGTTTTGTTTTTTTTGGGTTTTTATAGAAAAGCCATATAGCAAAGAGTAGATGTGGGTTATTTTGGTGTGCCCTCAATGGCCAGCTCTAATTCCTCAATGTCCTTCTTGTAGCCTGGCCCTTGCTAAAGGTCTGTAAAAGGTCTCCTATTTATTTASTTTTAATCTACRGAATGGTCCAGCTAAATTTACTGTTCTTTCTTCAGATGGCCTGTTTGCTCCCTGTAACTTGATTTTCAGATGAGCTCATCTTCCCCTGTTATCTAAACCAAGAGCAACAGCCTGATGATAAATCCTGCAGCCTCTGTTGCTGTAATGTAACATGAGTGTAACATGATTCTTCTCTCCTACAGGACATGGCTGGGAATTGGCTGTAGCTGAGAATGGTTGACTCATTTTCTAAATTAAGATTAAAGACTTGGTTCGAGAAAATTAGTGTCTGCCTCTTAACAACTACTAACACATTCTATTTGGTGGGTTCCCTCTGCCAGCATCAGTGCTGCATTGTGCAGACAGAGGGAGCATCCATCTAGCCGGCTCCCACTGAAAGATTTTTTTTGTGACCACTCTGTATTGAATGAGTACTCAGCTTTGTGGAGATTTCTAATATTGCATGAAGTGTCCTGAAAAGCATAAGATTTGCCTGGGTGAAGCAAYTGATTGGTAGGTAGCTGTCCATTTGTATTCTCCCACTAGCAGGGCACTCTTGCTTTATACCTTTTTCTTACTGTGTGCCTAAAAGCACAATCTATGGAAATGCTCTCTCTTTTTCCATAGGTAGGTGTAGCAACACTCATAACATGTTTTCAAGTCTCCCTATCARTATACCTGAGCATTGATGCAACCACCAGAGAATCACAAAAGCAGGGAGACAGATTGGCTGAATGCTGAGGATGCCCAGGCTTTCCATGGGTATCAGTGGTCTTCTACGCTTTTGTACATTATACATAATGTAACAAAGACAAATTACAAAGTCATTGGTGGGTAAACAACAAAGGAGCCTTTGGGTGAAGGCCATGTCTTTGCACTGCTCATGACAGTTTCATCATCAATTCAAGCTGAAATTAKGTGAGGACCATTTCAGGTTTATGGCAGTCATACAAATTGAACAGTACTGTGCTACTGGAAGTCCACAGACTGTTAAATAAACTGACCACTTTCTCAATTTCTCCAGGAACCAGATTATAATTACAGAGCAGAAGTAAAAAAACTCATTCCCCACTTGAAGTATTTGGACAGAATACCAGCAAGCCAGACTACTCTCCTTTCTTCCAAGAAGATGCATGAGGATTCTCTAATCATCAAGRAATCCATCAAGGAAGGTGGTTTAGCCAGAGACATTTCATGGTTAGGTATGACAGGTTTCCTATTGGGGTTTATTTTTCAGATTATGATGTGTAAAAAAAGAAAGGTTAGGAACAAGCCGACCTCTTTAAAGACAACTTTTACTTATAGTGAAGGGACAAAGGATGTTGTCTTCTTCACTTAGGGAGTAAGAAAGCTGGAATTCAGCAGRTAACAGTGCAGATTTAAATGGAAGTTGTTCTAAGCTGGGCATCAAGATCAAAAAATGCAGACAACTTCTAGAGCATGAAACAAATCCAGCAGTCGCTGGAACTCTGTACTTAGGGTTCATTCTGCTTGATGGGAAGAAGYAAAACTTGGAAAGGAATGCTTCAACCACAGCTGTTCACGGCTCTTTCCATGGTAATCTTTGTAGCATGGATGTAGTAGGATTTCTTATCCCAATTTAGTAATAGGAAAGTCAATTTGATTGCTACCCTTCAGTGACAGCAACATCCCAGGAAGATAGCATGGCCTCGTAAGAAATCTGTTCCACTTTCTTTGTTACTCTGATTAGGTTCATTGCATTCATTAGTAGAGAACAAATGGTTTGAAAGTAAATCTGTTGTCCCTTTCCTTGTAGCCTTGGTAATAGTTCAGATGTCCATGCTTTTATGTGTCATGCTACATGCACTTTACCACATAGTATTAAATATTGCAAAGTATTTCCTATAACTGCTCCTGTTGCTTCCCATTAGTGTGGGCAATGCAGTTAGCTTCCCAGGCCCCTCCCCAAGCTGTGGTTTGCCTGCCAACTATATTCCATTAAAAATTTAGTTTGTTTTGGAATAAGTACATRCATTTGTCATTTATTTAATCCCTACGGGTCCAAATCATTAGTTGTAATAGTAGTTAGGGCAGGAAAAAAATCCATTAAAATCTGATCCTGCTTTGGCARCATCACCTGAGGTTCAGAAAACCAGTTAACAAAGTTTGCTGACAGAAAAGTAGGGGCAGACACAGAACTGTGAATTTATGTAATTTCCTAGTGTAACCAGACTTACGTTCTTGCCTTCAGCTCTGAACCTGTAGTTCATATGGTCAGATTCAGACATCCCAGCACGTTTTTTCTTTCCAGTAGCAATGTTGATTTGGGTACTTTTCACATTCTGTGTATTTCATGGRTTCATATTAACAGCCATGGACAAGATATGTTAAAGGTCCCTAACACACAGCAATTAAAGAAATGGCCATAGTATTGTAGAGCTGATGCCTCACTTTGGAGCTGGTAGATGCTCARCACTTTACAAAGCATGCWAATCAYCTGTGCACTGAAATGAAATTCTCTSTCCTACGTGTTGTTGGCTGCATATGCTGCTCTTACAGCTGTGCTGTGCTGGGGAAGGTAAGAGGACAAGGCTCTGTCTGCCTTTGCTAGTTTTTGTATGAACCTTCCTGCCTTGTAGCATTATGAAAACAGTTTTGACCTTTCTTTCTGTGGTAGGGAAGCATCTGTCTCTGGGGCAGTACTGGAATGATCTATCACTGCCATTCCCAGATTTCTGTAGCTCCTGGTACACAGTTTTTTGACTGGTAGCTCTGATAAGGTGTCTATCACCATCTGTATTGTGCCATCTGCATGTAAGCAATGTATTTTAAGAGGGCCTAGGCTGTTCCTGTGGCAAGTCTGCAATGGCTCCCCTGTGGGCAGGTGGGCAGCAAATGAGAGGCAGCTTACACTAATCCTGGGAATGCAGGCAGGGAAAGTAGCAGGGCCTTGGATGCATCCAGGCTGACCTGTGGGACAACCAGAGGTGAATGATGAGCACAGAGCAGTTCCAGACCCATAACCCCTGCAGTCTGTCTCTGGTGCCCAGGAGCAGAAGAAGAGTGGGAAGGGATATCAGTTTCATTAGGGATCCCCAGATTCTGCCATGACTGTGCAGCACAGGAAGCCCTCTGTCTCTAGCATTGACCCATTTTATAGCTGCAATTACATACTTTCCTGTCCCCTATAGCTCCAGGTGTGCAGCAGCAGTCACCATAATGCAAGGTACAGTGATGGTGTGGTTTGCAGCTTTGCACAACTGTGCTTACACTAATGAAATCTCTCTTCTAGATCCATATCTTGCGGCAGTAGCAAAACAGTCTGGATGCGTCCCCAAATCCCCAACAACTCCCAGACCTGGAAATGCACAGTGCTCTGCTAATGTAGGGACTGATAGCGATGCCAGTAGCTCTCCTCTTCCAGATCCTGCTGTTTTTCCTGATAAACTGTTCACAGAAGATGACTCCAGTGATTTGACACACGGTAATGTATGCTTTTTAATCCTTTTCTTTCCCACACCTCCACCTCGTTCTGAATGTTATTTCTGATGAAAGCCAGGATGTTTTGAATACCACCCACCCATGCCACTGCTAATCAGGTTCAGCATATGTCTTCTTCCATGAGACTCACCTGCTCTAGCATAGGCTTTCCTTTATTCCCCCCTGCACCAGAAGGTGCAAGTCACCTGGGCTGCCCACTSCTCGGCCCCTCGCCCTCATGCATTGTGTGCTGCTGACCCTTTTCACAGCCCCATACCACAGTGGTGCTCCCCTCCTGGCAYTGCCTTTCATCCCTCATCACAGCTGTCCTGCTTGAGTAACATCTGGGCACATCCTGTTCAGTAAAGGGAATGTTGTCCAAGGTAGTCCTCTGAAGAGGTGCAGTGATTCACTTCCCACTGGATCACGTGCTCAGACAGTGTGTACTGCAGGCTCATACTGCAGCTGCATTGCTGCTGTCGATGAGCACTTCATTTGGGGTTTTCAGAGGTTGGTACCTCAGCAGCAGAGTCAGTTCCTTGACTTCACATCCCGATCTACAGGCTAGCCCAAAACACAGGTCTACCGTTGCCCTTCTTGCCCTAGTCGCTTGGAAATACTACCAATCCTTCCCTGACTCCTAGAAACAACTTGACAGTGTAACTCCACCAGCCCACAGAGTGCAGATTAGGTAGGAGGATGGCCTTTGTTTCCAGGCRTTATGGGCTGCTTTTCTCAGACACCAGTGTCTCTTCAGATCCTTCCTTACAAGTGGGACTCAGGATGATGGATTATATGAAGCAATGCAGAGTCAACAGCTGAGTGCACGTTTGGAAATGTTCATGGAAACCAAGTACAGCTTGTCAGGGAATGAGACCATAATTTTACACACACTTTTAGACAGCTAACACTACTGAYAGAGGTAGTTTCACCCAGTGGTCACTGATTCTTCCTGACTCTTTGCTGTCTCATATTTTGTTCACCTGATTTTTATTGAGATCAAGCTGAAAAATAATCCAGCAGAACAAACAATATACCCCCAAAATTCATATTTTGCTTTAATCTGAATTTGTTCTCTGATCTGATTGACACAAATATTTGCACCAGCACAGCTAAGGAGCCAAGGCAGGCACAGAAGACAGATTCTGGTGGAAACAGAGAAACCACCTCTTAGCAGCAGTATCAGACCATGCCAGCTGATACTATGAGCCCCCACCATGAAACTACATCTTCCTGTCTGTGGGAAATTATACTGACTGATTTCAAAGACAGCACCATTTGTTAAATGCTGGAGTAAAATGTTTTCTTTTTTTCCTGTTTTTCTTAGGAGTCTGTCAAGTTATATGTGGGAACCCCACCAAGGCCCTTCGTGCAAGGAGGGAAAAGCTAGGTGTATGTATTTCTTGTGTACTTCATATTCCCTCATGGTGACCCCATGGGATTAACTGAGCTCCTGCTATGKCTTGTGGCAGCTCACTCTCTTCTGTAGCCCAAGGACCTCCAACAGGCAGCTTGAGGAGGACAGAGGGTCTCCTGCTATGATGTTGTATGTGTTAGCAGTGAGGAACCATCAGCTGTAAGGGAACACATGAAAATCACAATCAGCTGCTAGGGGCAGACTTCCTACTGTCTTGCAATGAGCAAAGTACAAGGCAGCATTGCTAAATTTGATGATGTTTCTACAACAGCTATTAAGCAAAATAATTTTTTCAACAGTGTTTCTTTGATGTTGGTGCAGTCAGCTTGCTAATGCTGCAAGGTCGTTCCTATTGACTAAACAAACACAAAGCCAAAGTTTGTTCCTCTTGGCCGTGGGGTGGTACCCCAGCCCTGCGGGTCAGCCTGTTCATTTCAGCAGTAATTTACTGAGAGAATACCCGTGTGTGTAGAGGGGAGCAGACTGGCTTGTCATGGTCAGCTTTTGTGGGCCCTGAGGTTCAACACAGCACAGGTGCMCATGTGTGGGTTTAAACAGGCTGTGGTAAATCAGGGAGAAGTACAGGACACTSGCTGAATGCTGACAACAGATGTTCAAAAACAGCAAGGAAAAAGTATGTCCCACCCTTGTCTTTCTGCTGCCACTACCCGAGCACAGGAAGATTATCTGAAACAAATTTAAATGTTTTAGTGGGTTATTGTGTGCTGAAAACCGGGATGGGGAATGGGACTGTGGTCATATAATGAGTGATGCAGTTTCTGTGGAATTTGCCTTGGTATGCTTATTGGTATAGGTGCTATAGGCTTATGTCTAGTGAAATATATATCAACAATTTTTGACTGCTACCCTGGGTTCCTCAGGTTSTAAGAGCACATGGGTTGTGGGACTTCTTAAAACTGAAGAATGAAAACATGGTGAGGGGTGATCTAAAAACTCAGGAGTAAAAGTGGATTTTGATGCATTCTAAAATCCACATCTAGAAACAGAGCTGGGAAGAGTTCTCAGAGATATCAAGGTAACTTTTGCCATTTCCACAGCCACCTACTGTGAGCCCTTTGAAGCCGTGTGGTCTGAGGACAGAAAACCCTTATGGCTCTGGAGGAGGAAGAGATCTGCATCAGGAAAAGGTGTCTCCTGACGTGAGAGCAYGGACGGAGAAGCACAAGAGGTGAGACCGCCTGGGAAATCTTGACATGCAATGAGCTCTGCGTTCATTTTCAGCTGCAAAATCAAATCAGCGCTTTGGCCACCTCGTGGCGGTTCCGAGGGATAGTCTCGGCCTCTGCCTTCCTGTCTCCTGCCTGGAGCATCTGCGGGATGGCAAGGAAGAAAAATCCTCTGCCTTCTCTCCGGAGCACAGGCAGGGTGGCTCGCTTCCTTAGCAAGAGCAAGGAAATGATTTTTCATAACTGGTGAGCCGTTCTTGGCCCTGACAGTGCTTACCTTCACACAGTAAAAAAGAGCTGAAAGGGGGTGAGCTTTTCTGCAAGCAGCACATTGGCCTAAACAAATAAAAGGCTGAAAGACAAATACCACCTTGCTGAGATCTCATAGGTCTCACAGACAGGTAGTGGTTATTTTGGAAGTAAAAATTGTTTTATTTCTCTGAGCTTTCTTCATTGGGTAGTATTCTCCACTGCACCTGATTAACTTTAGGACACCTGAGATAACCAGACACAGGCATCTTAGGTGGCTGATCCAATTAAAATGATTTTTCATATCTCCTGGAAAGTGTGAAATAACAATGGGTAGCTAAATCCACTGCCTGGGTGTTTGCCTGAGTGGCCATGCCAAGCTGCACTTGGCCAGCTGCATAAACACACTCAAAAGCTAATTGAAGGTGTGATGCTTGATGTTGTCCAGGTGCCCGCAAACAGGTCAACAAGAACAAACCAGCCAMATATTGAAAGTGAATGAGAGTGAAGTCAGGAGCCTGACTGACAGCTCAGAAGATGAGCCGAGGAAAGCCTGTGATGAGGACCTCATAGAAAGGATTGCACTTGACCCTTCTTCCCACGCCAGTCTCCCTCTTTCTTCCTCAGGTACTGTACCTATAAATGCCTGGGGAAGGGTTGGCATCAGGCAGTAACACGTGGTGTCTGTAGATAGTGCATTGGTTAGCCCAGTATTTCATGAGATCTGRTGGCTGTGCTCTAGAGCAGCAATTTGAAAATATTGTTGCAGGACCAGACCCTAAGCAATCCATTCCAGTTTCTAAGCAGGACATTGTGGCCAGCTGTGTTGATCATCAGTTGATATATTTCAGCATGGATCTGTAGAATTAAGAGGAACAAAGATGATCTCACACAGGCTTTGCATCAAGTCTAGTAGAAGGACATGTYTCTGTCTTTTATTGTGTGTCATTAATTTATCACAGTGCCAGGTGAGTCTAAAACACTGTCATTCCTGCTGAGCTGTATTTGAGCCCAGTTGGCAATGATGTAAATAATGAACGAGCTAATGATTAAGGTTTAACTGAGCAACCGGGAATTCTGGAAAGATCTGCAACAAAAAGGATGCATTCAATAAAGAGTTTAAAAATGGAACATGCTCTTCTGCTTAGGAACAAAGCCAGAGGCTTCTCTGAAATTGCATTTACATGAATGAAAGCAGAATTCCCACTTCACTACTTGTTGAATATTGTCTTTAAGAATATTGAAAACATTAATAATGGTTATTGGAAATGCATACCAAATAGAGAACGTCACAAAATTACAACTTCAATATTTTTTCTGTTGTTAATGGTAACTTTTTCTAAATAAAAGCATGTGAGTTTTTATTTTACATTTCTTTCAAGGGCAAAAATGGATCTACTAAAATTGAGAAAAAATATAAGATAYTTTGTAAAATAATATCATGAAACTATTCAAAGCCTCTGTGCATATCACTAGTGCTAAAGAACAGAAACTGTTTGAAAAAATCTAAAGGAATGGCCTGCTGTCCACTGACTACAGAAATATGAGATTATGATCTCTTGGTCTCTTTAGACTTAATCTGATCTGGTTTARATTTTATATTATTTCTTTACATTATGGTTTCATTGTCTTTGTAGATTGAGAAAACAATGTCACAAACATCTCACAGTGTACCAGTATCATGCCCTATAGCACTGTGAAAGTGAATGGTTGGATCTGTCATGGATCTGTCCATCTTCTAACTAAATCTGCTGGCAGATGGAGGAGTGGTTTGAAATCTAGAWTTGTCTAAGGTGGCAGGGGAATGACCCGGATTCCAAATTACACACAGAAGGGTGTCCAATSCAACATGAATTTCTCACAGAAGAACTTGTTGCTGGAAGCAGTCCTTCTGACCAGAAAAGGACAAGYCATCTGAGCAAAGCCACTCTTACATAAAAATGTTTGCAGCATCATCAGGTCCATATAAACTGCATTTTTTAGAAGGCGTTGAATGTTATTTYGAGCTCTTGAGTCAGACAGTCTCAGAGTGTCTATACTTAAAAATGAATATGAAGTTTAGGCATTTTAAAAGCATATAGTATGATATAAACTGTTCCTTGAAAACTTTTAGTCAGCTTTACCTAGACAGTAAAATATATCCCCATCAGTTGGGAGCCACAAAGATGAACTTTGTGGGCCTAGATTTTGGTGGCACATTCTTTAGATTATGTTTCTGCCCTGGACCCTGCACAGCAGGCACTTAGGTACAGTTGGTTCTTTTAATAGAAAAGAGCAATCGGATCTCTGCTATATATAGGATGGTTCTAAGCATGTGTGCATGCTTGTTAGATTTATAAGCCAGCAACAAGTTTTTTCTCCTCTGTGTGTTGCACATATTACATGGAGATAATTACATGGCTGAAACACAGCCAGAAAGTAGCCCTGCATATAGTGCAATATTTTCCCTAGCAGTCAGACACTTAGTGTGAGATTCCATGRTCTCTGCCTCTGATTTAAAAAGTGGATCTATTCATCTGTGATTATTCCTATGTCTTGCACTTCAGATCACTGGAAGGAGTCCTAATGTATTTAGAACAAGTCAGTGCAAACACAGGCAGGGAATGATCCAGCATTATTCTGCCTGAGAACAGGAGGGCAGGTGAGCTCGCATGTCCCCCTGGAGCTCTGTTTGTGAGCTCTTCTGTGCTTGGCACATCACCAGCAGTGCTGGCAGGGAGGCTGCCAGTGAACCCAGCCCGACAGTCACAGGAAGCAGCTCAACATGACCAGTGTCGGGATACATCTGCCCATCCAGCTCCATCATGCAGCATCTCCAAAACCTTTCACTCCCTGGGTTAGTCATTTAGCAGTCAGATGAACTGGTAAATCGCTGTGCTTTCCACTCTGTTTCAGGTTTGTCAAAGCCTCAGAAGGGTGCAGCGTTCTCCAACATAAAACATCTAATTCCATCCCCTCCAAAATACCCTTCACCTGCCTCTGTAATGGGTGTGGCAGCAGGACTCTGGAAAACAAGGAACCACAGAGGACTAAAAACCCTCAGCCAAGAGGAGGACAGGCAGGGTACACAGCAATGCCAGTCGAGGGCTCATCATGGGAATTCAGCCCATGCTGTGGGCAAGGAGCCTGCTCTCCTGGGGCTGCACAGTACCCCGGCTGCCTCGGGATCCCAAGGGCAGCACCGGCCTGTTGGCTGCACCAGCCAGAAAAAGCTTATTGCAGGATCAGCAGTTCTTGGGTCCTCGAGGATCAGGTATGTGCCCTGCAGTGCATCTGGGGAAAACTGAAGAGACTTCACAGCAGGAAAAAGCAGAGTTCTCTGTTGTCTCTGGGGTCTCCTGCTTGTTTTGTAAAAAGAATTTATTTTATTTGTGCTGACATTTCCCTCTGACTGTCTAAACTTAAATGAAACGTTTTCCCATGTTCCTTATAGCTTGAGTGTTGTAAATCTTGTATATTCTTGAATAATAGCCCAGAATTTTACTGTGTTCTCACTGCTCCATTCTCATATTCCCCACCCAGAGCCAATGCTGTGTCTGTTGCAAAGCTCTTGTGTCACTTGTTCAAGACTGTGCTCCAGTAAATCTCAGGACAAGTTCCTGACTTCCCACTTGAGTTTTTTCCCTGRCATGAGTTCCTGTTAGAATGAACTCTGGAAAATAATGTAGGCAGTAGAGAAGTACTGCATGCACCAAAACATGGTTATTTCTGAACCTGTTTGCTGCAAGTTTAGCATCATGTTGTTATTCCTTTGAAGAAATACAGCTGAAGACTTGTGACATGACAGCTTGGGTTTGAAGTTAAGGTGGTCACTTTGAAGTCAGCATGGGCAGAGAGCACATGCCTTGTGTGGGAATCTCGTGTACCTGGGCTTCGCTCAGGCCTGGCAGCTTTTGGTTCAGTTTTCAGAGCTGGTGAGGAGGATGCAGATATCCAGATCCAGAGTGCAGTCTCACCACAGCATTTTTCTCTTTTCCTCAGGCCCACCATGGATAAGAGCCCTTCTAGAGAGATCAACCAAAAGCAACCAGCTGCCTCCTTATCCACAAAAGCCTCACAGAGGTTTAGGCCAATTAATTCTGTCTGGCCCCTGACTGCCAGGTCCATTCTGCAGTCATTGCCAGGCAAATCCTCTGCCACAAAAGCATCTCAGAGCAGAAGTCCTCAGTCCTAGAAGATACCCATTTGCCAGCATGTGTTGGAAGCATTGCACAGTGCAGCCATGAATGCTATCTTGTGGCTTCTTCTGCTAAACACAGGGCTATGCAAACAAATGACGTGATTTGCCTCAATTCAGGATACAGCTGGTCCAGAAATATTTTAAGACCAACCTCTGATCAACCAAGGAGCTAATGAACCTCTTATTACAGAAAAATGTGGTTATTTTTGCAACCTTCATGTGCTAAAACAGAACAAATCCTATCATACTTCCTCTCATCTCCACCAGGCCCAGCTCTGTGAGTCAGACGGGGACACTGAACAGAGCAGGGCATGGAGCCTGCTGTTTGTGGGGTGGGCTGGAGGTAGTGACCTCCCAGCAGCCATGCAATGTGTCCTTTGCAGTCCTGGATGTTTCACATGTGGAGGCCAAAACCAAAGGCTTGAGAGGAAGTGTTGACCAGGGCAGGTTCTAAGGGAGGGGTGTGTTGCCTGAGAGAGAGCCCAGGAAGGCTGGGTGGTTTCAGAGCTTATGCCCTCACAGGAGCTTGCCCCATTCACAGGCTTTGGAGGTTCTTGTAGGATGCACTGCTGTGGGAGCAGTGCTGAACAAGTGTCTTATCCCAATATGAACGTGTTTGTTTGCCCCATAGTTACCTGGAAGAATTTGTCTCGCTGCCTCTGAGTAGACATTGCATTCCAGAATTTCTCTAGCAGAGCTGACCTCTGTCACCAGGTGTCAGAGCATCCTCTGCATGTGCCTTCCACCTCCATCCCACTTCTATCTTTTCCAGATCAAATWGACTTTCCAATTTATTATAATTGGATAATTTTACATGATGATGCAGCAAAGCAGGAAGTAAGGGAATAATCTCTTGTTTTTTCAATAGGGCATTTGCTTTATGTTCGGGTGAGATTCAAAACATCTGTTTTAGTGACTGCAGTCTGTGAGATGCTCTTCCAAATGACTGTGCCTTGCAACTTTATTGATGTTACAGTCTGAAACCAAGCATCATCACATTTTTTCCAGTTTAAAGTACTATGTTAGATTATATTTTTTAATCAGTTTATAAAACAGTAATTACGTGATGAGGTAATGGATTGGTTTATGTTTCCTTTCTGCTGGCCATCTAAACTTAGAGAAGCAGAATAACAGACAAAGCCCTAAAACCTCCTTTTATCGTGGTGCTCCTACAAAACAGTCTGGAGCTTGAAGCAAGTTTGCCAGTTTTGGTGTGTTATAGCAGAAATCATCTATCAAAAATCATTAAAAACTATATATTATGGATAAAGGCAGGATTTCCTGTCAGATGCCATCCAGCAACCATGCCTGTGTCCTTAAATAGGCTCCCAAATTTGACTTTTTGTCACTGCCACTGACCATAACATCACAAAAAAACCCAAACAAAACTGGCCTTATAAAAGAAAGAAGACACTGACAGCAGTGACCCTTCTCTACATCCAGGGTTGTTCCAGGGGGTGATGGGTAGGACTGTCTTCTCCAGATATTTAGTCTCCTTCTCAAAGGCATCTTTGAAGGGTGGAGGGGGAAAAAAGGATCAGTGGGCATGTAAACTGGGGCAGCTAGATGGGTCTGGACATGTGCACGTGCAGAGGAAAAGCTCTGGGTACAGATCTGGAAAGTCACTCAAAAGCATCTGTGGGCATCTCTCACAGCAAACTCCACTTGTCTCTGTATGTGCACAGAGCAAGAAGCTCCTCTGAGCTGGCAGAGAGGATGTGGAGAAATAGTGAGGAAAAACACCTCTGGCGCTACGTTTGGGAAATCAGTGCCTGAGGGCTTCATCAAAATCGTTTAACTCAGGGTTTCCTGTTGTGCCATCCCATCAGGCACCCCAGTGATAACTCTCAGGGGTGCAGCCCATATGTGACCATCAGAACAGCCACCCTACTCCTCACTGATCAGCTGTGCCCCACTGGTGGCCTCACCAAGGCAGTCACCTGCTGCATAGTGGTGTGGTGTGGTGTGGTGTGGTGTGGTGTGGTGTGGTGTGGTGTGGTGTGTGGTGTGGTGTGGTGTGGTGTGGTGTGGTGTGGTGTGGTGTGGTGTGGTGTGGTGTGGTGTGGTGTGGTGTGGTGTGGTCACAGGGGCAGGAGGAGATGTCCACTCTGCCTATTGATCACCTCCTCTGGTGTGTGTTGGTAGGGACAGGTGGCTGCCATCTGCTCTAGTGTCTGTGCAGATTTAGTGTTCAGAGCTGAGTGGCCAGGCTGTGGTGCATGGAGCAGCAGGGAGGCTTGCTAAGACAGCAWGTTTGTGATCACAGCCCAGCCTGATGGGCAAGAAGGGCTGGCAGCCTCCTCTCTTCTCCTCTTCTCAGGGTTTCCCAGGGCTGCCACACTGTTGTCTGTTGCTGTTTCCAGGACAAGGAGAGTAAACAGGGTCATTGCTGTCTGCASAGCTGTAACAGATCCACAGGGAAAATCATTGCCCTGGATTAGCCTCTGCTTGTCCATCTTCCACTTTTTTCATCTAGAAAATGGAAAAGCCAGCCAGGGCTTTAATAGGCTAATTAGGAAATGTAAGGCATGATGGGCCATTTGTGATTTCAGTTCTCTTGGCCCAAAAGGGAAATACATGGGAAGTTTCATTGTGTGGGTTTTTTGTCACTGTTTCCTCTGTTAAAATCATACATTGGTCCCTTGAATATAGACAAAGTCCTTTAATGAACTATTATTTATAGGGGAGTTTATTCACATCCCTGCCTTTGCAGAGTCTTAATATTTATCATAGTRGGATTCTTGCTTCCAGTTGGACGTGACCAGTTTCAGATATACATTGCCAGAGTCCTTCCCCTCGTTCTCGTAATGGGCCAGGAGCTGCTGATGCCTTTAAGTATCTTGCTGGCTTAATGGGATTTGCTGCTGGCTGCCAAATTGGTATCTAGTGTGTCAGCTGRAGAGAGGGGTGAGAGCTGCTCCCCTCACCTATTAATAAATCAACACTGCAGGGAAGAGTTTTCTGCTGGGAGCCAAATCTCACCCGTGCATGCTGCTAAGGGAGGGGGTCGTTAGCTGGAAACAGCTGCGCTGCAGGGAGCTGGGCTCAGTGAAAAGGGATTGGGCCCAAAGTGACAATGCTGTGGCATTAGCAGAAGCATGATCCATCCCGGAGGCCTCTCAGCATCACTTAGCTGGCATCCCATGAACAGCCCAGCTGGAGTGGCTGGTGGTGCCCTGAATATTGAAAGGCTTCACTCAGCTGGAACTTTAAAAAAAAAACATGAGAGAAAGAAGTGCCAGCCAGTTATTTCAGTGACTAAGAATCCTCCATGCCCCTGCATGTCTGGGACAACATCCCACCCAGACAAATGGGCCCTGACAGCAAAGGTGGCTCCTGCTCAGACTCGGATTGGGTTCTGCTCCTCCCAGCTCTGCAGAGCCCAGTTCACTGTGGACACCCTAGCATTCAGTTTGGGAGCTGGCAGAAGGGGACACTCGCCCTGTGCAATGTCCCCATGGCAGCTGAGTGCACAGCCCACCTGCACAGGGCTYATGCTGCCCTGCTTGCTGCCAAGGCCATCACTCTCATTGAGGACCTGGGATTGCTTTGCACTTGGAGCAAATTCATCTTCATTAAAGGATGAAGAGAAGGTATTTTCTTTGTCTGTCAAGGAGGAGAAATCCTGGAAGCTGTTCAGGAAGGAAAATCTCATACGTGTCCCCTCTTCAAATACACAGAAATGACAGACCAACTCGGGATCATTTCCTACATGATTCCTTGGCTTTTCCAAAGCCTGACATGCTTGGGCTCCTTGCCATGGGCAGTATCTGCACCCATGGTGGAACACAGGTACTTCTGGTATATAGATCATGCTCCAGTAGTGCAGTCTCCAGTCTCTCCACTCATGAAAGAGGGTTTGTGATGGCTTCAATGTCTGCTTGGTRCCATCCGATGACAGACGAGATGAATCTTGCCCTGCAATGCCRGAGAATCCTTGTCATGTTTTTATTGTTTTTATTTTATTAAAATTAAGGCGGTAATTGAGGTAATTTTGTGAGCTGCTAGGAGACAATAGCCTTGCAACAGGATGCTCCTGCATGGCACAGCGTGAACCAGGAAAAAAAAAAAAAAAAAAAAAAAAAAAAAAAAAAAAAAAAAAAAAAAAAAAAAAAAAAAAAAAAAAAAAAAAAAAAAAAAAAAAAAAAAAAAAAAAAAAGTCGGGTTACTGGGTGGAGAGTTACGGTATAATTTATAAATATAAAACCTGTGCCTGAGGAACGRARTGGGTGCTAATGCAACCAGGCAAGAGCCGCTTTAGCTGGGTTTGAAGAGCAAGAGGAATGCCTTGGAATGGACGCTAGAGGGAGGAAGATGGTTTCATAAGTGCAAATTCCAAAAGCAAAAGGGCTCGGAAAACAAACTCAAGCCGCTCTGGGGCGTTCAGGAGGCGCTTGGCATTCAGTAGGCTCAACATTTTCTTTTTACCTGTCCAGCATCCAGTGTGCTGGCCTTGTGTGGTGCCCCCAAATGCACTGTGCTGGTAGTGGCTTGCTGTATCACACACCACTCTGATATATTTGGAAATATTTTCTTAGGAAACCTGTAATGCCCACAACACGTAATGCAGATCATCCCAGACCCACCTTGGCACTGGAAAGCTGTGGTGTTTTTGGGGTGTAATRGGGCACGTCCATGTGATAATGCTGTGTGCAACCTCAGCATGTCCTAAAGATATGATCTTTGTTACAGCCTATAGCTGCAAGCTGCAAACAGGCTCAAAACCACACAGGGCTTGTGTTCCAGCATCTTCTCCCTTATGACCAGGGACCTGTGATCTCTGGAACCCAGCAGAGAGGCCAGGGCRTCCTTGGGGACTGTGCTTCCCAGTGCCATTGGGCAAGCCCTGGTGCCAGTTCTTCCAGTTTGAAAGCAGCCCTCTCCCAACCCAGCTGGGTGAAAGCTCTCTGCCACTTCTTTCCCCTTTATCCCCACCCTGACCTCTCCTATCATCCCCCTGCCCTCCTCCTGGCTCTCACYCAGCTCAGCCATCACCTGCAAACCATTGCTGGCACCTTGGTGCCTCCCTGGCAGGACCTCTCTGGGAGAGTGGTGTGAGCTAGGCATGGTTTGCATTGGTTCCTTCTCTTCYCTCTTCCATCTGCAGGGATCTTGGCCCTCTTGCTGATGTCAGGACAGCACTGGCAGACCCTGGCAGGTCACAAGGGCTGGTCCCAAGGTCTGCCACCACCCAGCTGATTTCTGTCTGTAATTTCTGTCCCATCCCTGTCTGTTCCCCATGTGGAAGCTGGCAAAAATCAACATCCACATTTTTACTCCTGCTCTGTGGGCAGGGTCAAACCCTTCTTCCCCAACAGGGAGCACCAGCCCAGTCTCTCCTCCATCTCTGGGCAATTTTGGTGCTGCAGCTCCTGTCACCAGCATCATCCACAGCCCAGGGGGCACCGAGAGCCATGACAGGGCCTTGAAGGTGAGTAGCAGAGCACCTGCTCTCTCCTCTGCAGCCAAAACACATCAGCCCTGGCCATGCTGCCTGTAGGGACTGTGCTGAGCATGTGCTGCCTCCTGGTTATGCCCTGGGCCCATCAAGGCTGCCCAGACCAGGGCTGTGCTGGGCATGTGCTGAGCAGGGCACAGGCAATCGTGGCTGCACCATCTAGCATGTAAAGGAGCCACAGAGATATCAGGTTCAGGGGTGAAAAAAGGTGAAACTGCCCTGGRAGGAAGCAGAGGAAGCCTTTGGGAGATCTGTCCCAGGAGGAGGGTGCTCAGCAAGCAGAGGATGCTCTAGTGGGTAGCAAAGGGGAGATGGACACGCCAGCAGCAGGGGGCAGGTTGGGAGCACCAGCTGTCCTGTCACGGGAGRAGGGGTTTGTTCTGCAGGATCAGGGCTGGAGGTAGTAACAGGGCAGGGCTGATGGATCCCCCTGCAGCCTCCTCAAGAAATGAGGGGTTAGAAAACAACCCAGTGTTCCCAGACCACCCAAATGACTTCTGCATCTTGCCAAGGCAACCACCTTCCAGGGTCTGGGTGTGGACCTGCCAGCCCTTACCAGAAAAATGCTGCACACCAGGAACAACAGCCAGGATCAGGACAGGTCATCTTGTCCAGGAGTAGGGGATTTCCTGGGATTAGTCACCAAATCTTCCCCCTTCAGAACCTTAGTCCCTAAAGCTGCTAGGCTCCTCCAAGGATGGTCTCCTGCTGCCTCCCCAGGTGGAGCTTCACAGTGATAGCAAGGAATTAAAAATATTTAGGAGTCTTGTAGGGTCAAAGCAACAAATATTATTTTCCCCTGGATGATCACTAAGAAAATTAGTGGAGGAAAAATCCCTGAAATGCTCTATTTTTCCTGATTTCTCCTGTCCCTTTTATCTAGGGTAAATTCTTATGGTTTTGAAGAAGAGAGATATTACTTGTCCCTTTCAACTGCTATTACCCAATCCTTAGTTGTTTTTGTTTTTTTGTTTTTTATTATTAATAGTCTGGGAGAAGCAGGAATCCAAACACAAACCTGTGTATTAGATTAGGGCATGCAAAAACAAATGAGAGGCCCTTGCTGCTGTGGGAAAAGCAATTACCTCAAGATCAAGCAACTTTGCAAGTGATTTACAGAAGAAGGGACAGAGATGGSAGGGGCTGGCATGTCATACTGGCATTTGGGAAGATGGCCAAAAATGCAAGAGGGAGATTGTGTGTGCACCTGTGTGTGTGACCATGTGTTTGTCTGCTCTCTGCCAGGTGCTGAGCCCTGGCAGGGATGGCTCTGGCATCACTGTCACCCTGCCCTGAGACAAGAGAGGAGGGCATGGGAGGTTGAACAGGATCTGTGGGGTTGGTTTGGGATGCAGGAGTGTTGCAGGCAGAATGGAAGTATCAGACAAGGTCCACCCTGAGGAATCTCCCATTGAGTCACAAGGGTCAGAAAGGAACCCCTTAATTTCTAAACTT